GGGGGGAGGCAGGGGAGAAATAACACAGGTAGAACAAATAATAAGGCACCTGGCGGGAAGGGTACACAATACAGTAAACAAAAAGGCTTGGATTTTTAGCAGCCCTTCATGCAATAAATCCGAAATCATCGCAAAATTAATACCGCACTCAAATTGTGAGATGAAAATCTATCACACTCCTACTCGCAGTGAATCATGGGAATCTCGATTGGATTTTCACTCGCAAAGGTGCGAATGTTATCCCAACTATACAATGACAGTGCTGCACTCATGTGGTACGAACAGTATAACTACACGAAAGTGAGCGGAACCTATCAGCCTTCTGTAAACTTTTCTCGCTTGTTCTACGTACTTATAGCTGGACTTACCTCTTTCTTGACATTGTCGATGAGTTTCTTCTTGAAGTTCTTGTCTGTAACAGAGAGAGAGGGAAAGAGTGGTTTACTCAGAAGCGAAAGGGACGACAAATTGTTAAGAGATGGCGACACGAAGAACACTACACAGAAGGCGGGGCCGACGACGGGGCTGGGCGGGGCGGATTCCCCAAACGAATATAATAGGAGCAGGCGGCTCTGCCCGGCATTGTCGCTCAAGTTGCTGAAATACGACTCGACGCGCACAACTTTTACCCCCCCCCCCCCAGCATCTCCCCTTCCAACCTCACTCTCCCCTGCCCCTCCCGCCACCACCAGCGCATGGAGTTGCGCCCGCAAGAGCTGAGGACGTCCCGTGTAAAGGACTTTCTAATCTACTACGAATAAAAGAAACAAAAAAACAAGAAAAGTAATCTAGACTGAACTCATTTGCTCTAAAGTTTTTAAAAAAGTCTGGCGCCTCCCCCGCCGCCGCTGCTATCGCCATCATAATACACCGGTGGAATGGGATATAAAACGAGCTTTAAAACGATGATCTTTAGCCGACCGTCAAATTGGAAATCTGCGGGCGAGACGAATCTTCTATATACGATTTTTAAAACAGCGAAAGAAGAGGAGGAGACGAAGGGGGGGGGGGATAGCTCACCAAAAATGCCAAAATATGCATGGCATTCAACGAGTTTGCAGTGTTGCCTCATTTAGGAGGCGGTAGATAGGAAGGGGCGCTGCCCGGCGCTGCCCTGCACAGGGCCCGAGCCCATGGGGGAATGAGATTATCCACGACCAGAGCGACACGACGTCCAGACCCGTGGAGCTCCGCTAGTGGCGTGGGAGGGAAGGGGGGAGGTGGGGCCGTAGTGGCCGGACGGCAGCGGCACAGACAACGAACGTGTCCGATGAGATGGCGGGGCGCAGATAAGCAGTA